AAAGTTGTTCATTCCTTGTTGTCTGTTGTTTTTTAAGGACAGTTTTAGGAAACTTACTCATATAGTGATATCTTGTTTAAAAAAAGAAACAAAGAAAAAGAAACCTGCATGAATACATGTTTATGCAAAGAAGAGCCGGTGTCATAACTACTATTTTATAAATGATTATATAGAGGTCATTAGAAGTCTTTACCTTTGCTTTTATGACACTGTTTTTCACAACTTGATTTTTTGATGTTCAGACATAGGATTAAGTTTTTACAGTATTTTTCCTATAAACTGCATTTCCTATGAGGAAAATGTGGCATTTTTAGAAACAAAGGTATTGAAAAGTATAAAATGTACTTTGATTTTATGATATATTAAGTAACTTATTGCATATTTTTGTTTTTTAAATTATAATTACATATGTAAAATATCAACTATCGATATAATATCTTTAATCATGAATAATATACATCTATGTTAAAATGAATCTGAATCTTTAATATCTTTGGTTGTAAAATTCTGTCCCTTGATTATTATTTTAGTACAGTTGGCAAAAAWCTGTACAGAAAGATCTGTTTGCCGTAGAGAATTCCTTTTTTCTTTTCAAAGTTAGCTTATTTTGGTCAACAACGTGAAAAATAAGCATTTATTTCCTTAGGGAGAATCAAGCCAAGATTAATGTGAATTTGTAGGAAGCTAAGAAAGCAGCCATACAACACCTGCCTTCTTATTTTGAATTCAAAGTACTAGCAGTGGGAATACTATAAATATGATGTTATCCATATTTCTATTCATCTATTAAATAAGAATTCCTAAAATAGAGTGCCAGTATGAGAGAAAAATGTATTTAAATCATAAAAATCAAGTTCTACAAAAAAGTATGCCAGATAATGTGACCAGTGTCTGCCTTTAAAATATATTGCTGTATTCATACTAGTTTTGACTTAATTGATGAGGAGTCTCAGAGACCCTTTGACAGTACCTGAGAGGCATAAAGAAAAAGCATAAAAAAGAAAAAATTAAAAAAGAAAAAGCATGCATCCCAGTTAAATAATTTTAGTTAACTGTTAACATTAGATAACATTAATCAGAACTAAGAAATTATGAGATAAAAGTTGTTTTATAAATATTTCCTTTCCTACTGTGCATTTTTTAATTTTTTTTTTTAATTTTTGTAGTTGTAGATGGACAGCATGGCTTTATTTATTTTTATGTGGTCCTAGGGATTGAACCTGGTGCTTCACACATGGTAGGCAAGTGCTCTGCTACAGAGCTCCAGCCCCAGCTCCCATATTTTAACATCAGTAATCTTCTTAAGTCATTCTTGGTATAGACTTAGGCTTTTTTTTTTTTAATTGTGGTGCTAGCGATTGAACTTTTCAGTGCTTTACCACTGAGATAGATACATTCTCAGCCCTTTTTATTTTTTATTTGGAGACAGGGTTTCACTAATTTGCAAAAGATGGCTTTAAACTTAAAATCCTCCTGCCTCAGCCTACTAAGTAGCTAGGATGCCATCACATCTAGCTAGGTTTTGTTTTAATAAGTGTATRTAATGAAAGTGTATTTTCTCACTGATGTTATTGATAAAAGCCCAATCTTTAAAATGAAGGATTAGTCTTTATTGTGTGAGTGCTCTATTTGTATTTTTATTAAGGTAGCTCTTAATTTTATGTATAGGTGCTTATGCATTTACAGTGAGATAATGTCCTTAGTAAGTAGATCATAAGTTGAAAATAAAGTTGCAAAAGCATTTAATACACCTAACATTCTCAACATCATAGTATAGTGACATAGCACTTTAAAGTATAGCTGCACTTACTACCACTGATCAGCATCAGGAAGAGTATCATACTACATATCACTAGCCTAGAAAAAAATTCCATACTTGGAAGTATAGTTTCTACTGAATGTGTATTACTTTGGCACAATTATAAAGTTGAAAAAATCAAACCATTGTAAATTGGGAACTGTGTATAGTCTTAAAACATTGGTTTCATCAGGCACAAAAATGAAGATTGTTAGCTATTGACTACGACTGAAACTTAGGTGGACCCTGGACCTGAGAATTTTTTTTCACTTCATTTTCCAAAATATCTTTGACAAATAAATATAAAGGTACAGAAATATGTGGGTGTTTCTCTTGAATATTTAAATTAATGTAGTCAGCCATCTGATCTACACTTTTTTTGTCTGTTTTTAAGTAATGCTTATTGTTAATTTGGAATCTCTGTGTGCTTTGTATTTGTTAAAATATTATTGTTCATTYGTGATTTTTTAGCAATTGCTATATATTCATTTRATAGTATAGGAAAGATAAAAAATTCAAAATGGAGGAAACAATTATAAAATAGTTGAGGGATGCTAACATAGGAAGATATGTATATAGTACGTGGACRTACTAAGATTCTGATTGGTGTGTAGAGCAGGTGATTCTGGAATTAAGACTGGAAGAATGAATCAGTGTACCAATCAGTTGAAAACAGATGGCATATTCAGAAAAACAGTATTTTGAAAAAGACTTAATGATTTAAAGGATCTGAAAAAATTAAACTCAGTAAATGAGTTTTACTTATTTTTTGTGATCATATATACTCATCATCTTTAATAACATTTTCATATTGAAGATCCTAGTTATTATTACTGAATAGGGACATCTGTTTCCTTTATCCCTGAGACTACAATTTTGTGTCAGGGGTTTGCAGATGCAAAACATTAAGAAGAATGCTATAGGTAACAGGCTAATGTCTGTAACTTAGAAACACTCTTTTGACCAGAGTCTAAGTACATCTATAAAACTTTGCCATCTAAGATTATTTGTTTAAATTTTAGAGCCTTTAAACCCCAAAGCCAAAATGTATGTATCATATATTTTGTACTTCTAAACAATTTCCATTTGTAAATAGTTTCAAACATAAATGTATATATACATACTCCAGTTTAATAGCGGGCATGTTTTTAAGTGCCTCTATATCTTTTATTATGAAAAAAGTTAAAACACACAAAGGTAAAAAGAAGGGTAAGATAAATCTTCATATAACCAGTGTTTCATCATTGACCCTACCCCTCTCCTACCACACACATACTAAGAAACTAGTCTTGGACATCATCATTTAAGCATATTTAAGAAGGCATTCAGGAGAGGAAAGAAAAACACATGACAAAATTGTGAATTAACATACTCCATTAGAAAGATGATAAATGCACTTTGCAGATTTCTTTTCCAACCACTTAACTACAGGAATCTTTGTTCTGTTTAATACAGTAAGTCTGCTCATTATTTCTTGAACATATAGATTCCTTCTTCTGTGTTGCACCCCCCCATCCGCCCCATCCCATGTTTCTGTCTCTTCTGGAGCCTGTCTGTCCTCTATTCTAAATTGTTCCCTCTTGAAATATAATTGTTCCTGCTTTCTTCTCAACTTTTCTTCATGGAAACGTTCTTTGTCCCCATGGCTCAAGCCATTACTTGCACATGCTACAGTGTATTGTTATTTAGTTTTAAAAGGATGTGTCCTTTTCTAGCTCGGTTGTAGCTGTTGTGTACCTTTCATCTATAATGGAAAGGTAATAATAATGTCTATATCAGATAATGAAGATAAATAGTACAAAACAAGCACTTAGTGAATATCACTAATTGTTGTTAGCCATAAACTACTGGAAGGAAGGCATCATGCCCCCCAGCATCTAGCCTCATTCCCCAAACAGAATACATGCTAAGTATACATTTAGTCATGTTGGCTAGGAGGCAGTTTGCTTTGTATTTCATGAGGTTATTATCTAATACTGTTTATTAAAATATTCATGTACATGTTCAAAATGTGACCTTTGAAAGATGAGCATTTTGAGGTACTACTGTGTGTTCTATCTAAAATCAATCTGTAGTTATCACTTGCTTTGAAGGGTACAAAATTAAAACCCAATTCAGTTTAAATTCAAGTCACATTAAACTTTACCTTTGCTATATCCATGTAGTTATTTGCATAGAGAAGTATTAAAATTGTAATTACAAATCATTTTTATCTTTTTTAGACCATATTAAGTAACAGAAAATTTGAGGAATTCAGAGTTAAGAATTAGATAAAACTTATAGGTTTAAATAGCAACCTATAAGCAAAATATAGCAAATTTTTTTTTCAAACATTTTTGTTTGGCTTTCTGCCTGTATCAAGCACATGGTCAGTTGCTAGAGACTTGAGAGTCTGGTAACAGTGTCCACCCTTCAGGAATGACTATTATAACAAAAGTTGCATTTTTGTGTGGAAATAGAAAAGARTATACTAAATGAAATATGAGAGTGGAAGCAGATACGTTCAAGGAGACATCCTGAAAACAATGTCGCTTGAGCTTTTTTAAAGAGTAAGCATACCTTGACTGTGAAAACTTATGGTTTCTTATGATTCCTTTGTTAACCTTTAGAATAAGAACTATTGACTAATGACTTTAAAAGAGTCTACAGGGGGAAAAAAAGAAATAGAAAAGAAAAGCAAGCATTGTCTAATTGCCTACTGTTTGTCCAGGCATGGAACATGATCTCTTAAAGCATATTTATCCCAAAAAAAGTTCAAAATTGAAAGAAGCTTTAGTCAACATTTAATCTTTTTTCCCCAATCTTCCCCAGCTTTACAGATTTAAAACCGAAATTTACGCCAGTAATTTCACTGATCATATGGCTAGCTACTGGAAGAGCTTGGAGACCATCGTGTTCTGTCTAGAATGTCTGTGTTTATTACATATTGATTTGCTGTGATCAGCTATTTTGAATTTACAAAATTTTACAAGTTTTGGAATTGACGGTTTCTGTTGCGTCTCCTGCATTCCTTAGCCCAAAGAATGCAGAGGAATATGCACCTGTGGAACAGTTCATAATTCTGGTTTTATGTGTTGTCAGACATGTCATTCTGTTTGCCTTGTTTAAGAATTAAAAGCATGAGTTTTAATAAGTATTTGTCTGGCATGTCTTATTTAGACAGTTTTTCCTGTGATATTAATTTGTTTTTTTCTCTTTTTAGTCTGCCATTTTCAATTTTCAGAGTCTGTTGACTGTAATCTTGCTGCTTATATGTACCTGTGCTTATATCCGGTCCTTGGCACCCAGCCTCCTGGACAGAAATAAAACTGGGTATGTTACTAATGATGTCTGATCTTACAGACATTGAATGTAAATTACCATGAAAGTCATTAGATAATTTAATTCTGTTTGTAGTTTAGTTTATAATCACTTTTTATATTTTCTCCCTATCTTTAAAAATCCAAAACTTTATATTTACAGTATCTTACTAAATACAAGATAAATTTCACAAGTGATCTGAAGTATGACCTGAAATTTAACCTGTTAAAAAAATGTATTTGAGGGATTATGTTTAACCTACTGAAGATGAAAACATTAATTGTCCATCAGCTTTTATGACAATGTCCTATCTTCTTTGTACACATTGTCATCTCCATTCTGCGCTCTTCTCTGAATTCYTATTGCACTTACGATTCAACACTTTATTCTCATTAATCAGGTGTTGAGAATTCTAATATAATACATAATATCTACCTAATAAAATATTAAGAGTTCATGTCACTAAAAGAATAGTCACATAATAGTACAATAGGCTATTTGTACTTTTCTGGTGCTATTATGAAATTTTTCTTTCAAAAGAAAGGTTGCATGTGGAAATGTCTGCCCCTCAATGCTTTAGGTGCAGAAATGTATCCATAACATGCTACATTAACAAAGGAGTTCTCAGGGCTGCCAACCTTACAGTAGAGGTTGAGTGGTAGTATATTTCTCCAACATAAAGAACCCAAAAAAAGCATTCCTGTTTTTACATTTTAATGTCTAGATTAATACAGTCTACTATTCAAAAGTTTTCTGAAAGTCTTTGTTTCTTCTTTATAAATGTTAAGCACTATTTTGATTTGTACATGTGTTTTCCTTAGAAGAAGGTTTTACAGACTGTCCCTTTCTGTTACAATTACATGTTTTTTATGAGATTCATAATCACCTTTTCTTTATTATATATACCATGTTTAGATGGAGATGTCTAGACAGATTGGATAAAGCAGGTTCTTGATAACTTCACTATTTAAATAACTTCATTTTTGCTGCTTCAAATAATATAGAACTAAGCAGCAGTAAAACATTGCTATTTATCTTTTTCCTAGTTTTATTGAACTTATAGCTATATCAACAGATTTATTTACTGATGTACAGCCATCACACTAAGTTTTTATCAACTATTTTAATAGTTCTTATTTTTTTAACAAATGCTTGTGATATTGAGGAAATATATCTAGGTAGAGAAATACGTTGAAAAATCCAAAATCATTTTCTTGATGATACTTTGTTTTTCTAGAACATAAGACTTGTAAATATATGGCTTCTGTGATATAATGATTTCTCACTATGTTCATTGGAGTGCCAGCTGAAACTCTTCCATGGAGGGTCTTGGAGGAGCKTCAGATAACCTGCTCCAGGCACTTCAGCCTATCTCTTCAACCAGAGTAGCTTTAAATTATTAGTGGTATTATGATCAATTGGCTTTTAGAATCAAGGAACCTATATGGCTTTGCATATGCTTAACTTGTTTTACTTCTTTTTTGATGAAGAAATGTTAGCCAATTTTAAGTAATGTCTAGTGTTAGTGTCATATGTGCCTTTAGCCTGTATATTACTAAACAGCATATTAGTCACTATTATAAGGACTTTCCATATAATCCCTCATTTTTTCCTCAAAACAACTTCATGAGAGTAATTATGCTAATATTAAAGAGAACAAATAACCTCCCCACTGTTATGCATCAGTAAGTAGGACTAAATTTAAATACAGTCTAGCCTTTTATATTAGCTTATCTTCCTTTCAGAAATGTTACTGTCCTTTCATTCCTACAGTAAATTTGTTTTACTTTTCAGAATGTCCATCCTTTGAAATAAACTTATATTTTTGCTCATTAATTTAAAATGAACTRAGAGACTATGCTTTGAGGTCAGGAAGTTGTTACACTTTTGGAGGAAGAACATATATGGGAATTAATTGAACCAATATTTTAGTATTTTTTAAAATCCTAACTATTAAGATATAATGATTCATTCACCAGCCATATCTATTCAAAAAAAAAAGTATCATATAAATTTCCCTGAAATTTAAGTATTGTGATTTTGTTGAGCCAGTCTTTATGTTAGGGGAAAATATTGTTGGTTTATCTTAATTTGTACCACATGTAATTCTATTTATAATTCTAGTCTTGTCAGACCAGCAAAATAGTGTCTACAATATTTTTGTTTTTATTTTTTAGATATCTCTGTTCATTGATGTTAGAGTTGCTTTATTCTTTTCAAAGTTGTTGCTTTTTCGTATGTGCCAAATAAATAATGTATCCATTTATATGTATTTAATATATTTAATTTTCATGGAGTTGAAAAGAACACCTTCATTCCAGTTCTTATTTATGGAATATGTGTTTTAAAGGTAATATTTAGTGAACTCATACTTAGTTTCTCCTAAACTCTGAAACTTTTTCGTGGATTAAAAAAAGCTACATACTTTTGTCTTTCATTAAAAACAGCTAAGAAATATTTTTTTAAAAAACTGCTATATACTGTATTTCCCTTTATTGAATGACATAGGTAAGCAGTATCACTGCAGTTCATGATTATAGATTATTATATAATGTCAAAATTCAGCGAAAACCTATGTTTATGTATCATTTTTTCAAAATTAATACTTAAATTGTCAAAGTTTCTACCCTTTTTTTTTTCTTTTGGTGGTACTAGGGATTGAACAAGGGCATCATGCATGTGCTAGCAAGTGCTCCACCACTGAACTGCATCCGCAGCCCTTTTAATATCTTAATTTTGAGACAGAGTCTTCCTGATTTACTTAGGCTGGCCTCAAACTTGCAGTCCTCCCTCCTCAGCCTTCTAAGTAACTGGGATTAGAAGCATGCACCATTAAGCAATTTTCTGCTTTTCTTTCCTTTTTTTCCCCTGCTTTTGAAGGTGGTAAAGCACTTGAATAAAGTTGACTGAATCAGTACAAGAAGCCCTTATGCAAACTTTTACCACTCTCACATTAATTTACACTGGTTTTGACTTATTATGCTACCTATATTTTAGTTCATAACATTATTCACTAATGGTTGATATGCTATTTTGTCCTATTTTGATACATAAATGGTGGCTCAGCATCAAACAAGCAGATTTCAGATTTGAAGCTGAGTTTTAAGTGTTAAAATGACAGTGTATAATTAATTTTCTATATGATATTGACAGAATGAGTTAACCCTTCCCAGTAATCAATAGTCACTTTTTTTTATTCTGTGCAGACTATTGGGAATATTTTGGAAGTGTGCCAGAATTGGTAAGTGTCTATGATTTATCTTCATTTCTTCAGCTACAAATGTTGATCAGTTTACTTATGTCACACTCACAAAAATCAAATGTCAGTTTTAAAAGTGCAGACTTCCCAATTACATGCACTTTTGCAAAAATTTGTAGAGTTCCAAGTTCTTTTTTTTTATGCTATTTAAAACTAGATTCATGAATACTTCATAATATTTCATTAATAGGGAGTTAGAAAATAGAAGAAAGGGGCTGGAGTTATAGCTTAGTGGTGGAGCACTCACCTTGCACATATGAGGCACTGGGTTCAATCCTCAGCACCACATAAAATAAAGGTATTGTGTCCATCTACATTTAAAAAAAATAGAAGAAAAATCATTCTAATTCAGATATCAAATATCTTGCATCCCTAATTTTGAGATGTTAAACAAATGTATATATAATTTTATATATACATATTCATAGTATAGAGCATGGTGTTCTGTATCTTATGTACCATTTTGATAAGAGGATTTCTCATCTAATGAAAAGCTTAAGAAAATTCAAAACTTGTATGTTTCTATATGTAAATAATATTAAATTCTTATCCCATTCTCTCTCTCTTTCTCTCTCTCTCTC